AGTGGCTGGTAGTTTCGAACCACTGACCTTAAGGTTCGCAGCCCAATTCATAACCACTACGCTACCCGAGTGTATATGAGTGTGTATATGTATGGGGTGAATGTGCATATGAGTATGTGTTTGTGTGTGAGTGAGTGTGTATGTGTATGGGGAGTGTGTTTATGGGGTATGTATATGGGATGAGTGTGTATATGTGTGGGGTGTGTGTGAATGAGTGGGTATGGGGTGAGTGTGTATATGAGTGTGTGTACATGTATGGGGTGTGTGTGAGTGTGTATGGGGTGAGTGTGTGTATATGACGAGTGTGTATGAGTATATGTGTATGTGTGTGATGTTACGTATGTGTGTGCCTTTGTGTTCGTGTAATGGGGGAGCACACATGGGGACATTGTGTTGAGTCTGGCAGGAGGAGAGTGGGGGAGTCAGTGTCCGACTGAACACAGCACCCCCTCCATCCAGGATTCCCTGGGGGGGAACAGCCGCACGGTGATGATCGCCCACATCAGCCCAGCGAGCAGTGCCTTTGAGGAGTCCCGAAACACCCTGACCTATGCCGGCCGGGCCAAGAACATTAAGACCAGGGTAAGAGCCTCTGTCTGTCCATCCAAGGCACGGCTGCCCAGCCCCAGATTGGAGGCCCTGGGCGGGTTCCAGGCCCTGCCCCCCCCCGCCCCCACTCTCTTTGGTACCATCCTCCTTGTGTTGGCCTCAATTCCCAGTCCAAGGTCACGCCTCGTGCCCCTACCACCACCTTTCAACACCTGCTTGCCTTCCAGAAAGCCTACAACTCCCAAGGGCCCCTCTTCTGGTTCAAAGGTCTATGCGCCCTTCCCTGCCTCATCCACTCTCCCACCCATCCCCTCCTTCAGATGCTCAATCAGATGTCCAGCATTTTCAAAGCACCTGACCAGAGTAAATTATACATGAGAGCTAGCATTTGCTAATTTGGCATATTATTTCATTTAGTCCTCAGAATAAGGCAGGTGTTGCTATTATACCCATTTTACAGTTTGGAAAAGTGAGGCTTAATGAAGCTGCATGACCTCCCCTGCTGATCAATGATGGAGCTCAAAGTAGAACCAGGTCTGCCCTGTGAACATGACAGAACTTGGCACCTATTAAAAACTGTCTTCTGCCCTGTGTCTGTGTGTGGGGTGGGGGTGGGGGGTGAAGGGGGAATGGACCATCACAGGATAACCTCCAGCCATTACCTCAATGAACATTCTCTCAATAATTTGCCAACTAGTGTTGCAAGGGATTTAAGTTTTATTGCAACCCCCAGAGAACTTAATAGGGGAAAGGAGACATACTCTTAAAGATGTAAATTGGTGGTTGCTTTAAAACACAGAAATTCATTTGCTCATAGTTGTGGTGGTTAGAAGTCCAAACTAAACTGCATTACCTCTGCATGGAATGCTCTCTCTCTGTTGGTTTTGAAGGAAGGTCCTGGTCTCTTCTCTGCCAGGGCTTCAAACTGTAATTGTTGTCTGTTAGATTATTGCTGTGGTACACAAAATATTTAAAACTTTGGTTCTGTCCTGGTTTCGCTTCATTGCTCACGACTGAACTGGTTCAAACTGGTTTGAACCTGGTTTTTACTCTCTGATCTCAAATTTATATTCTGCAAAAGGATAGCTCAGGCCAATTTCATTTGAAGAAATCTGGCTACCGAATTCATTCTGTTTATTGCAAATCATATGACATTTTTATATTAGCTCAAGTTCTGTTTATCTTGAGATTTTAAAATTAGCAATATTATTCTATTTCCTTCTACATGCTCATTAATAATTAAATCTAAAGGGTCAAAGACATTCACTTTTAATCAGTCTAAAAGCATTTCAATATAAACAAAATTATGATGCAAAAATTGTTTTCTTAAAATAGATTCTACTTCTAACTAGAATTCAGTGTTGTTGTTGTTGTTGTTAAGTGCCGTAGAGTCGGTTCTGACTCATAGCAACCCTGTATAGCATTTCTGAGGAGTGGCCGATGAGTTTGAACCACCGACCCTGTGGTTCAAACCAACCTTGCCAGTCCAGTGCGTATCCTACAGCACCACTGTAGAACCAAGTCACTTTAAAAAACAGTGTTGTAATAAAAACACTCTTGATGTGGCACTGTGGGATCATCACTGGACTTGGAACCATAATTTTACATAAAACAAACATTCTGTTACAAATTTTAATTTATAATAGAATTTGTAGATTTAATTCATCCACAATTATACAGTTCATTAAGAAAATATCATTGCTATAAACCATAATTATACCTAATTCAAAGAATGCCATCTAACATTTTTTAATTTAAGCTATCCCTGTTGTCCCATAAGATAAATTTCAAACCTCAGAAATCTTTCTCCACACTGATCTAAGTAGTGATTTCCACCAACAGTACCATAGCAATTTCATATAACTGGGGGTATTATTAACAATTTTCTTCCCAACATTCAAGGATACATGAGGGTTAGTCAAAATTTAACCTCTGGCTGTAGAATTTATTTTAATCAACTTTTAGAAAAGACAAATACATAATTTTTTAACATAATCTCCTTGCTTTTCAACACACCTTGTCCACCTGTCAACAAGCTTTCATATTCCCTTATTAAAAAATGTTTTAGGCTGAGCTATGAGCCATGAATGCATAGCTGTCTTCCCTTCATCAGAGGTGAATCTTCATCCTCACAGGGTTGCTTTCAGGGGACCAAACAGGTGAAAGTCTGATGGAGCAAGATCAGGACTATAGGGAGAATCCTTTAACACCTCAAAATGAACTTTTTGTAGAGTGTCATCAGTGTGGGCAGAGGTGTGCAAGACATGCATTGTCATCTAAGATCACAACATCCTTGGCTAGCAGACCTCTGGCTTTTAATAGGAAGTTAAGGCTTCAGCTCTCCAGTGAGCATCTCACTGCAATGTGCACTGTTGATTGTTGAACTTTTCCTGACGGTGTTTCAATACCGGCCCCTGAGAGTCCCAGAAAACTATAAGTATCTATTTTCCAGATGATCGTTGACTTTTGAACTTTTTATTCATCAGCAATTGAGGATGTTTCCAATCCATACTCTGCTGTTTACTCTCAGGCTCCTAGCGATGAATCCATGTCTCATCACTATGAATGAGTCTTTTAAAGAAACTTGCCTTCCTTCAAGTATCAGTCCAAATTTTATTTGCAGATGTCCAAATGCTTCTTTATGCTTTTCCATGAGTTGTTTCGGTACCCATCTCACACCAACAGCAGGCGAAGGATTTCAGGTGTTCTCCATCCGAAGTTGGGAATCACTGAAGGCTGAGGAGCAGGAGAGTGGGCATTTGAGGAATGAGATCTGTCAGCTAGGAAGTTATAGGATGGAGGAAAGGAAGCCAGTTATGTCACCCTGAAGGAACCCTGGTGGCACAACTATTAAGCACTTGGCTGTTAACAAAAAGTTGGCATTTGAATCCACCCAGTGGCTTTGCAGGAAAAAGACCTAGCAATATCCGTCTATAAAGAAAGATTGCAACCTAGAAACCCTATGGGACAATTCTACTCTGTCAGGTGGGGTCTACAATGAGTCGATATAGACTCAACGGCATCCAAGAATAATAACTATGTTATCTCAACGAATGGGAGAGGCAGGGAAGAGGAAAGAGGAGGGAAGACCTGCAGACAAGCCTCACTGTGTGGAGGAGGGGTGACTCCCGCTGACGTGTCTTCCTCCTCTGTCTCCACCCCATGCTCCCACAGGTGAGGCAGAACCTGCTCAATGTCTCCTACCACATTGCCCAGTATACCAGCATCATCACTGACCTGCGGAGTGAGATCCAGCGACTCAAATGCAAGATTGATGCACAAGGGGCGCGGGGAGCAGCCCGGGTCCGGCTGGATCAGGGCCACATCCAAGGTGTGTGCAGGTCTGCTCTCAGCTTGTCTTAAAGTGTTCTGGGGTCAGCTCTTCTGACTGGGTTGCCACTCTGAACCTTCTTCACTTTCATTGTAAAATGACATTGTGACCTCGGCTTCAGAGGGTTGGCATGAAGACTGCACGAGATTACACAAGTGAGGGACACACGAGGATTTAGGTGTGTGCGAAGCCTCATGGTCAGGGCTATGGAGCCGGGGAATGGAGGGGTACCATTCATTCCCTCCTACACGGTGTATGTACTCTGGTGGGTTTCCAATAGATGGCAGTAGCATGTCTGTATAGAGTTTCCTGGAATCCTAGAGTGGCCCTGTGGAATAAAGCACTGGACTGCAAGGTCGGTTTGAACCACAAGGTTGGCAGTTCAAACTCACCAGCCACTCCTTGGAAACCGTATACAGGGTAGCTATGAGTTGAAACTGACTCGACAGCACTTAACAACAACAATAGGGTTTCTAAAGAGCAGCTGGTGAGCTTGAACCACTGACCTTGTGGTTCAAATCGACCTTGCAGTCCAGTGCTTATCCTACAGCACCACACCAGGACTCCTGAAGTGTCTGAGGAAGACCTTTTTATAGGCGCTTTTAGGGACAGTGGGGGAGTCCTGGTAACACAGTGGCTAAGCGCTCGGCTGCTAACAGATAGGTTAGCGGTTCAAACCCACTAGCTGCTCCTTGGGAGGAAGATGTACCACCCTGCTCCCATAAAGACTTACACCCTGGGAGACCCTGTGGGGCAGTTCTGCTCTGTCTGATAGAGTCGCTAAAACTGGGAATTGACTTGATGGCATGTGGGGAGCACCAGTGGGGAGCTGAGACTCACCTTTAACTTGAAGCCTGAAGACTCAAAGGTGGGCTGGGGCGCGGGAGAAGGTAGTGAACCAGGTCTTTCTGGAAGAAGTGTTTGAACAGGAAGAGGGAACAATGGTTTGGTAAGAAAGGGAGGTGAGGTGGGCTTCGATTGGTCTCAACCTGCCTCTCCCTTGACAGCCGAAGTCCAGCTGCAGAGTGGACAGGGGGAGCAGGCTGAGATGGCCCAGCTACGGGAGCAGCTCATCAGCGCCTTCCAGGAGCAGATGGATGTCCGGAGACGCCTGCTAGAGCTGGAGAACCATGCCATGGAAGTCCAGATTGACACCTCCCGCCACCTGCTCACCATCGCTGGGTAAACACCCTGCCCCATGCCACTCCTACACCTGGACTGCACACTGGGTGATGCCCCTCCTCTGTACCTAAGTCCATGTTTCCCGGGGGTGGGGTGGCCTCAGCTGGGAGCACGAAAAGTCTCGCCGGGCCCTCAAGTGGCGCGAGGAGCAACGGAAGGAGTCGTTCACCAAGGACGATAGCGAGAAGGACTCAGACACAGGTGATGACCAGCCAGACAGCCTGGAACCGCCCGAAGTGGCCTCAGCCCGGGAGAACATCGCTGCCCTGGTGGGCGAACAGAAGAAGCTTCACAAGGAGAAGGTGCCAGTGTTTGTGTTGAGGGGTCAGGGAGAGGGGGTGTGAGAGGCCAGGCAGAAGGAGCCTAAGGGAGAGGGATACCGATTCTATGTGACCAAGGTCTTAACCTCCTTGAGCCTCCTGCTTCTCCTTTGTAAAATGGGCGTAGTTGTGGTGTCGCCCTAATGAAGTCTGGGGAAATCAAATGCCTGGCACAAAGCCAGAACTCAAACAATGGCAGTAAATATGATCATTGTTGTTGTTGTTGTTGTTAAGTGCCATTGAGTCGGGTCCGACCCATAGCGACCCTGTACAGGGTTTCCGAGGGTGTAAATCTTTACGGGAGTAGAAAGCCTCATCTTTCTCCCGCGGAGCAGCTGGTAGTTTCGAACCGCTGACCTTAAGGTTCGCAGCCCGATTCGTAACCACTACGCTACCAGAGCTCCTTAAATATGATCATTGGGGCTTTCTAAATAAGAGGCCTTTGCCATTTGCTCTGGGGAATAACCAAGCCAAGGGGCTTCAGTCTCTCCTGATCAGTTGCTATGGATTCTAGTCCATGGCGGTCCCATGTGTTTCAGAGGGCTACTGTGCTCCATACAGTTTTCCGTGACTAATATTTTGGAAATAGATCTCTAAGCCCTTCTTCTGAGGAGCCTGAGTGGACCCAACAGTTAGCTGCTGATCGTATAAACTGTTTGCACAGCCCTAAAGCTATAAGATGGGCTGGCTATCCACCAACGTTGGTTCCAGGTGTGGCCAGGACACTAAGAAGGTGGGCACGGAGGCAGCAGTTGGGAGCAGCTCCTGGAATTAACCTCCAGAGTTGCAACTCCTGGTTGCCCATTCGGAAGCAAGGAGGCCCAGAGCTTGGGGCCTGGAGCCTTGTAGACAGGCCTGGTGGGAGGTAGGTCCTTAGCCCAGTCTGGCTGACCAAGCACCGCCCCTAGCTGGCGCTAGAGCAGCGCTGTCGTGAGCTGCGCACGCGGGGCCGGCGCCTGGAGGAGACGCTCCCGCGACGCATCGGCTCTGAAGAGCAGCGGGAGGTGCTGAGCCTGCTGTGCCGCGTGCACGAGCTCGAGGTGGAAAATACGGAGATGCAGTCCCACGCGCTGCTGAGGGATGGCGCACTCCGCCACCGCCGCGAAGCTGTGCGTCGCTTGGAGCAGCACCGCAGCCTCTGTGATGAGATCATCCAGGGCCAGCGGCAGATCATTGACGGTAGGGCGCCTGCACTGGGGCCCCTCAGCCACCATCACCCCAGGAGGTCGGAATACCAGCACTGAGCCCTCTCCTCCCGCTGCAGACTACAACCTGGCCATTCCCCAGCACCTGGCACAGCTTTACGAAATGTACCTGCGGGAGCTGGAGGAGGGTGGCCTGGAGCGGGCCACCATCATGGACCGAGTGGCCTCCAGGGCCCTGCAGGTGGGTGCCTGGACGTGGGCATTTGGGAATGTGCTGAGGGCACTCGCTGAAGGAGTGACTGTAGCCCTCGGCAGTGTCTGCCAGGCATGGAACCAGGCTGGTCGACGCCTTTCTTCTCTACCCTACTCCAAAACTTGCTACATCTGAGTGAGGTCCCTAGCCCCGGGCTATTCTTCTCCGACCATTGCCTCCACTCAGGGTCTAGGAGTCAAGTTGGCCATCTGATTTATCAGAATGGCCCCAAGTGCTCCCTGCCCCTAGAGGACAGGTGCTTGCCACCAGGTAGTGTCACTGGGGATGCCCAGCAGAGCAGAACCCTTCAGGTCCCAGAACGCAAGCCTCTGGGGCTTCCAGCCCGTGTAACAACCCTTGAGACCCTGCACCATTACCTGGTTCAGGACCAATTCTTCTGACTGCCCACTTCTGCCCTCTCCCCAACAGAACAGCTCCTTGCCCAAAATTGCCCCAGTGGGAACCATGCTGACCCCAGATTCAGACCTGGAGAGTGTGAAGACACTGAGCTCGGAGACCCATCGCCTGCAGAACAACATCCTCCCCCCACTCAGCACGGAGAGGTGAGTCCAGGGGCCACTGCCCGCCAGCCCTGCCCAAGCTCCAGGTTCACGGTGCCAGCTGGGATCAGGGCAAATCGGGGGATGTGCAGCAAGGAGGCAAGGGAGGAGGTGGCACAGGTTGGGAGCCAGAGTTCCCTAGCCAACCACCATCCCATCCTTCCTCTGCCAATCCCAGTGAAACCAACCACATGTTCAAGACTAGTCCCAGGGCCTGGCAGGTGAAGGGCTCCTCAGTGCCCACCCCGCCTCCCATCCAGATCAGTGACCTGGTGACCCAGGAGGTGAGTTCTCTGAACACTTGTTGCCCCTCCCCCCCCAGGGTCTGCTGCTGGGGGTGGGGAGAACCCAGGGGTTATGACAGAACCTTGCCAAAATAGCCACCACTCCAGAGCGTTTTGTTTCTCTGTTGAGGGGGCACAGGGTCCCTGCTGTGCTTAGGTCTTCCTTCCTCCCACCGCTTCACCCCACAGGCACCCGCTCTGGACAGCCTGGTCAGTCTGAGCAGCCGGATCAACTCCTCCCCCGACAGCCTAGAGAATCTATCAGAGATATCCTTGTCCCACAAAGGTGTGCCCTCACCCACCCCCACCCACCCTCTGAGCCCGGAGGCTGGCACCACTTGGCTACCCACCCCAACCTGTTCAGGGACATACTGCACAATCGGACATTAGAATGAAGAGCGTATGACATTTAGGGTTGTGCCCCTTTCCCGTTTGTTGTTAAGTACTGTCCAGTCGACTCTGAATCATAGCGACCCTGTACAGGATTTCCGAAAAGCGGCTGGTGAGCTTGAACCGCTGACGTGTAGTCCAGTACATTAACCCTCTGCGTCACAGAAGGACTCCATATGAGTATAGAGCCCTTGGCCCGGGACTAAACCCACTCTCTCAATTCTCACAGTAACTCTGGGGTGTTAGTTTTACCATTCTGTTCATAGATTTTAAGGAATTTGCCCAAAGTTCTGATTCTGCAAACAAGGTGGGTGCGGGGGGAGAGGGAGGAGTTAAAGTCCAGGCGGTCCACCTGCTACCCATTTTCGCTATGGCCGAGGGGGACTAGAGATGCAGGAAGGACCAGGGCTACGTGGCCTTCATCAGGGTGGGTATGCCCTTTGTCTCGCCACAGAGCGGAAGGAAATCCTTACGGGCACCAAGTGCATTTCGGTGAAGGCCGCGCGGCGGCGCTCGCGAGCCCTTGGCGCTGAGGGTCGCCATCTCCTGGTGCCCGTGGCGCAGCGCAGCAGCCTGTCCCTGCACTCGCTGAGCGAGGCCGACGATGCGGAGCCGCCCGGCCCGCTCGCCTACAAACGGCCACCCAGCCCCACGCTACAGCGTGCGGCAAGCGAGGACAACCTGTCCAGCAGCACAGGCGAGGCTCCAGCCCGGCCGGCGGGGCAGCGCGGCGACGGCCCTAGCCCCTGGCTTTACGGCCTGAAGAAAAACCCCGGCAAGAAACGGGAAGACTCTCTGGAGGCCAAGAGAAGAAAGCGGAGGTCCAGGTCCTTCGAGGTCACAGGGCAAGGGGTGAGGCAAGGGGCAGGGGGCGGGCATCATCTTCTTTGTGGGGTGGGCCCTGTACCTAGCTCCCTCAGCACTCTCTCCCACACCTGGGGCATTACCCCAGGCTGGGGCAGGTCCCTGGAGCTTTGGTCTCAAACCAGTTTTCCAACCACGGCAGCTCTCTCGTCCCAAGAACCACCTCCTGGGGCCCCGTCCCTTGCAGAACGTCTCGGATCACAGGATGCCAGCCCCTGGTACCCGACACCCAGGAAAGGTCATGTTACCTATGGCCAAAGTCAAACTCCTTCCAAGCCAGAACATGGGTCAGTACCGGCTGGGAAGGGGCTGGAGGAGGGTCTTGTCAGCCCAGGGTAGAAGAGATATGTTGAGTTCCTTGCCCACCTGGCTACCCGTGGCTGAAAACCTGGTTCTCCCAGTTCTTGGCATTGGGGGAGGGGAGGGGAGCGTTTCTAAACCACTGATCCCAGGCTTTCTGTTGTTGCAGGCCCTGAGGACCCCTCATCCGTTGCTGTTCCCCCCAATCTAGTTGGCGTTTCCCGACGGGCTACTCGAGGGCCCCGCCTGCCCCATGGGACAGGCGCCTATGGCAAAGATGGACGTTTCCGGCATAACTGAGGGGCCTGCTTGCAATCGACACCCCGCCCCTCAGACTGAATGGGGTGTAGGGGAAAGTGGGAGATGAAAGCAGGACATAGGGGGATGACTGCGAGATGAAGCCCAAGGTCTCAGAAGGCCTGCGTTCTGAGACAGAGGAATTGTAGGACATCTGCCCTACCCGCCCATGCTTTCCGTGCCACTGGGGAAGGGAGGTGGTCCCAGAAGGCATAAACAGGACAATCGAGGTTCCTGGCCTCCCAGGCCTGGACAGAACCCTGTTGCCAAAACCGTGAACAGACCTGTGGCCAGACTCAGCCTCGAAGATGGGGTTAGAGGGGCCGCCACGGGGAGGGAAATTGGGCTCACATTGGAGCACGGGATGGTTGGGCTGGGGGCCCACAGGGTTTCACATTTTATGGTTAGGGGTGGGGAGGTTTGGTTTTGTTACTTGGCAGTGACTTTTCCCCCCTCTCCTTTTTAACAATAAAGTCCCATTTGGGAACTAGACTTGTATGGTGGCCTTAAGACACAACCCATCCCTCTCCCCAAACACCCCCTCTCCCTCTGACTGCTTCTGAGCACTAAGCTAGGGAAAGGGTTTTTCTCTAGACTCAGAGGCCCCTCCCAGAAGAGGTCAGGATGGCCCCTCCTCCCCCCAGGGCCGAAAGTCTCACAACTAAGGTGGGCGGTGACGCCTGGAGATGCAGGCACAGAAGCCCCTTAGCTTCAAGGTGAGAAAATTCTTGCAAGCCCTTCCCCCCATGTGGGCACTCTGACCATTCGGTTGCTATTATCTGTCCTGTTCCATGTTGGGGGTGTGTGGACAGCTGTCATGGGGAAGCTCAGAGCTGGGGGAGTCTGCCTGGCTGTTCAATCACCCCCTCGCCTCTCTGAGCATTGGTTTATTCAAGACCAAAAACACTCCCATCGAATCTACGGAATCAACCCCTAAAACCAGGTATCTGGTCTGCCACTCCGCATCTCGCCCCGTCCAGCACTACATGAGGCCTTTGTATCTCAACCGAAAGGCATCCGGGACCTCCTCTCCCGCCTGCCTAGCTACTTGGGGGTCCGGATGAGGGTGTGGTAGACCGGTTTGACGATAAGATGCAGGTGCAGAGCATTCTCCACCAGGTACTCTGAGTTGCGCCGCTGCAGGTCGGCGTGCGCCAGGAAGTCGCCGGCCTCCTCGCTGCTCTGGTGGAAATTATAGGCGTGGCGGACCAGCAGGCGACCCTGCTGCCGCGCGCCCACCAGCACCGTCTTCTGGAAACTCACGCCCGCCGCGTCGCCTCCGCTGCTGGCCGGTGTCACTACGAGCCGCGGCCGTCCGTCTTCGGGACGCGCGGCGGGCAGCGCAGTGCCCGCGGCGTCCGCATAGACCGGCCGTAGGCTGACGGGTAGCCAGCGCGGCGAGAAGAGCACGTTCCAGGTGACACGGCGGCCCGCGTCGTGGCTGCTCGGACCCAGCTGCGTCTGGAAGCTGGTGCTGCGATCGTCGCGGGCCGGGTTGTTGATGACCCACGCGGCGCCCCAGGCGGGGGCCAGGTAGTTGCGGGGCAGGAAGGCGCTGCCGTTGACATCGAAGAACTTGGCGTAGTGCAGCGGCGACGCGGCGTGGAACTGGTAGGCCTGCAGCAGAAGGTCGGCCACCGCGGCGCCGTGACGTGCCAGCGCGGCCGAGCGCGCCTGCAGCTGAAACAGCTGCGCCGGCGGGATCATCGGGTAGCGGATGGCGCGTAGGGCGCGCTCAGCCACGGCGGAGGGTGGTTGCGCGCGGCCCAGCCAGGCCTCCAGCGCTTGGAACAGCTCCAGCTCGTCCTGCAGTACCAGGTCCGAGCGCTGCAGCAGCTGCGCCAACAGCTCAGGACTCACAACTCCCCACTCGGCGCTGCTCACTACTGCTGACAGGTTCCAGGCCAGGAACTGTAGGCAGCTGTCGCGCAGCGCCTCGTCGCCAGCGCTCAGGGCGTAGTGGTACCAGCCCACAGCCGGGCCGGCGCCCCCCGCCAGGTGCGCGCGCATATAGTCGGCCACACCCCGCTGCAGGGAGGCCACGCCATACTTGGTGGCCAGCTTGTGCAAGGGGATGGCCTGGGTCAGCAGGACCGTCAGTTCGCCGCAGTACAGGTACCTGCGGAGGAGCGAGTGATGAGCGAAGTCAAGAAGGGCCACTATTTGCTTTCTGGAGTTGGTCTGGGGAGGCGCAAACCCAGCAGAGTGGGTCCAAGCTCCCCGGGCTGGTCTTAAAATTCCTCCCACCGCTCTTCCTCCTGTTTCTCATAGTAACAGAGAAATAACTTGTATTTATTGAGCATCTACTTAAGTGCTCTGGTGATACAATGAGTCAACTGCTCTTTGGGAGAAAGGTCTGGCCATCTGCTTCTGTGAAAATGACAGCCTAGAAACCCTACGTGCCAATTCTATTCTGTCATATGAGTCATTATGAGGCCATCAATTATAAGGTGTTGTGCACGAGCCTTGAAGAAAGCAGAAATAAATCCTGCCCTGTGGAATGTGTATGTGGGGACAACAGGATCTGGATTGGGACCTCTCAGGGACCTTGGCTTCTGTGACCCTGTGGGTGGAAGAGCCAGGGGCTTGGGAACAAATGAAGTGTCCTCCCCACCTCCAGTCTGACCCCTTCCATCTATTTGTTGAGCAAATCTTTTAACTTGAACCTTAATCTTGGCACTGTAGGTTAAGCACTGGACTGCTAACCACTAAGTTGGCAGTTCAAAGCCACCCAGCACTCCGAGGGAGAAAGATGAGGTTTTTTAATCGGAACCGACTGGAAGACACCTAACAACAACAACAACAACAAACTTCACTCTTATAATTTATAACTTCCAGTCCTCATGGACACTTACTGCAACCTTCACTCATTCTGTCTCAGTCTCTTTCTGTCTCTCTGTGTACCCTTCGTGCTATTGGCAGACATTGTGGGGGTGTGGTAGCACCTGCAGACACCCCACCACCCATGTCTCCTATCTTTCTACAGGACATGTTTTCCTCCGGAAAGAAAGAACTGTGTTCTGGTCTCCCTTGAAGTATGTGTGGTCATGCAACAAATTTCTAGTCATTGAGATTTTGTAAGGGGAGTCACTGTGTGGGATCAGAGGGTGGAATGTTTAAGTCTACCTGGCTAGGGGTCGGGAGGAGACCCTTGTGGCTTTTTGTTTTATCCCCCTTCCTGTTGCCTGGAACTTGGAAACGATGGCTGGAATTCTGTAACCCATTTGTTTAAGTCACTGTGATTGGCAGCCAAACCCAATTCTCAACCCAATTGACTACAGTGTGACCCTTGGACTACAATGTGACTCTTGGACTACAGTGTGACTCCTGGACTACAGTGTGACCCTTGGACTACAGTGTGACTCTTGGACTACAGTGTGACTCGTGGACTACATTGTGACTCTTGGACTACAGTGTGACTCCTGGACTACAATGTGACTCCTGGACTACAGTGTGACTCGTGGACTACATTGTGACTCGTGGACTACAGTGTGAATGGATGGTGCCCCATTCATGGAAGTGACAGAAAGCAGTGGAGGTGGGATGGAAGAAGGGCTGCTCACTTTCGCAGCTCCCTGGCATAGTGGTTCCAAACCTGGCCAGACACCAGAGCCTTTACAAGAAAAAAATGATTGGTGGACCCAACCCCAGATGTGAAGCCCACCACCCAGGGGCGCTCCAAAAACCTGCAGGTTTCAAAAGCTCTCTTGGTCAGGTTTGGAAGCAGCTCTGGACAGTGGATCCTAAGAACAGAAACTGACATAGTGTCAAAGCACACACAGAGCGCTGAGGCCAAGGCGGGGTGTGTGTGTGTGTGTCTTCTACTGCACTGCACATAGTGAGGTGGATAACGGATGGCAGGAGGTGCCTTCATGGGCTCATCATGGCCTCTGGGGGCTCCAGCTTTGGGTGGAGGATCCAGGGGCTTGGGAAGGAGTGAAGACCCCCCATAACCTGTCCTTGCCCCACCTGATGAACTTGTCAAAGACGGCGGCGCAGTCCCTGGGCTCTTGCAGCACCACCTCACTCTGGTTCCACAGCAGCCCCCGGAAGAGCTCACTGCGCAGACTCAGCAGCAGGCGGTGGGCGTGGAAGACGCGGACCTCTTCGGTGCCCTGGGCCTGCACCCGCAGGACCACGTCACTGGCGTTGCCCTGCCGCAGCAGCTCCTGCAAGCGCTGCAGAAGCATCTGGGAGTGGTTGATAGAAGAAGCCGCTGCCTCCCCACCGACATCGGCTCGCTGGGCTGCAGTGGGAAGGGACACAAAACCTGAAAAATCTCCCGGAACCATATTCAGGGACAGAAGAAGAATCAGCTGGAGACATGGGCACAGGAGTGTGAGCAGAGGGACGGCTGTGTGTGCACACCTGTTTGGACCCATCAGGTTCACACAGGCGCCTCCTGGGTGGGGAAAGTTCTGGCCAGGGAGAGGTGATGAGCCAGACGTGCAGAACCCTAAGCCAGGGTTAAGGGAAGTGTTGGTACTCCGCCTCCTGCCTTAGTCTTGCCTTCTGAAGAAGCGGCCACTCGACCTCTCGCGTGAGTTGTCAGGTGGAGTGGTGCGTTCATGAATGAGTCTTTACCGAGCATACTGTGTGCCAGCCTGTCTGGTGGGGGGTGGGGGGGGGGAGGCTACAGCAGTGAACAAGCTTTATATTCATCAAAGCACATGTTGTTGGATTAAACACAAAGACGCACTGTGGATTGTGGCACGGGAAACAGTGAGTGTAACTGGGTGGAGGGACCAAGCAAAGGCTTGCTGAGGAAGTGACAAGGATTCAGCCAGCGAAGAGCACCGGAACATCCACAGAGTAAGCGCGTGCAAAAGCCCTTGAGGGGGAAGGGCTGGGAGCTGGGGAGAGGGAGAAGGTGGTGAACCAGGCAAGGAAACTCTTTTCCTACAGTCCTGCTATTTGGGGAGGTCTGATCTATAAGAAGGATCCCATTTCCAGCAGGTGGCTGGGGAAGGGGACTCGAAGAAGAAAGTGCAGGGGGCCAGCTAGTGCCAGAAGGGATAGTCCTAGAAACGGGGTGTTGAGACTGGCATCCCCTTCCAAGCCACCAGGGGCGCCATGAGGGTCAGATGGGGATCTGGACTCAGCCACAGACTGCATCAGGTTAGAAGACCTCTTAATAACTTCTTCGAGGGTGTCTGACAAGCCGGAAGGCACCCCAACTCTCACACACTCAGCCGTGTGTGCACCTGTCTCACATACACTCACATGCACACACACAACTACTCATATACACAACTCATCATTCATGTGCACTCGCACACACACATGTTCATATGCAACTCACTCATGCACACAAGTGCTGGATGCCTTGGACCCTGTGGAGGGCATTATGCATGAGCAGGTCTGTGTGGGGGGCAGCAGAGGGGAAAGAAGCAGCAGTTAATTCCCAGCCATCTGCCTCTCCAAGCTGTCACTCTAAAAGAAACCCAATGCTGTGGGCACCCCCATTCATGTCTACGTGGGTCCAGGACAATGGAAGGGTCTTCTTTTGATCCCAACACCCCGCTCCCTCCCTAAGCAGGCTGTCCTGCTCTCCCTGGCCTGCCTCTCAACTGGAGGGTCCTACCTCTCCTCTCAATTCCACCCCATCCCAAGGCTCACTCACCTGCACGAGTGACCAGGCCCACCAAGGTCAGGATGGCCCAGAAGCTGCCCCAGGATCCAGGCTTGGCATATCCTTCCCTGAGCATCTTTCTGTCAACACCCCCAAGTTCACTGCAGGGACACTGAGCCCAGGCCACTCTCCTCACCTCCTTCCTTACATAGGACCCAGCACAAGGCAGACTGCACCCTCTCCCTGGATGGCTTCCCTCCCCCACCGGCCTCTGCAGGGATTGGTGGAAACTGGCCCCAGCTGTTACCCAGGCAACCACTTAAGCCTGAGAGTGGCAGCCTCAGGGGCTATTGTGCTTGGCCCTGGGCCCCCGGAGGGGGACAGATCCGGCCCCCCTTCCCCAGTCTCCTCACTTCCCACAGGGACAGTTGGCCCTCTCATGAAGTTTTAGACCCTCAGAAAGGCAGACAAGGGGCTCCAGGACTACCAGAAGCATTGCCCTGAGGGTCCCCCACCCCCTCCCTCAGCTCCCCCCACCCCAGAGCAGGCTTGGCAGCATCTTGGCTAGAATTCCGTGGTGAACCAGCCTAAAGAGACAAGCCTGGAAGAGGAGAAGGAAGAGGCTGCTCAGGCTCCCCCCCACTCTCTGCCCATCCCCATTTTGGGGTGGGCTAGCTCTCTTGCTTACTGAAAGCACAGAAGACTTGAAGCCCTTACTGAAGACTGCAGCCTTCACCATAGATTGCAGTTCAATGTAAAGAAAACCAAAATCCTTACCACTGGATCAATAAATAACATCATGATAAATGGAGAAAAGATTAAAGTTGTCAAAGACAGCATTTTGCTTGGATCCACAATCAATGCTTATGGAAGCAATAGTCGAGAAATCAAATGACATATTGCATTAGGCAATCTGCTGCAAAAACCTTTGTAGAATGTTCAAGAGCAAGGAGTCTTTGCAGGCTAAGGTGCACCTAAGCCAAGCCATGGGATTCTCCCTTGCCGTAAGTGCGTGTGAAAGGTGGACAGTGAGTAAGGAAAGCCAAAGAACTGATGCCTTTGAATTTTGGTGTTGGGGAACAATGTTAACTATGCCATGGACTGACTGCCAGAAGAACAAACAAATTTGTATCAGAAGAAGATCATCCAGAATGTTCCTGGAAATCAAGGGTGGCAAGACTTCAACCCATGTACCTTGGACATGCTATCAGGAGGAACCCGTCTCTGGAGAAGGACATCATGCTTGGAAAAGTGGAGAGTCAGTGTAAAAGAGGAAGACCCCCAACAAGGCAGACTGACAAAGTGGCACAACGGTGGACTCAAGCATGCCAACAATTGTGAGGTTGGCACAGGACCAGGCAGTGTTTCATTCTGTTGTGCATAGAGTCACTGTGAATTGGGACTGACTCGATGGCACCTGAAAACAGCTCTTTGGAGTACGACCCTGGATGGTGCAAACAGTTAACCCACTAGGCTGTTAACCAAAGGATTGGAGGATCGGATCCACTTAGAGGTGCTTTGGAAGAAAGACGTGGCTGTCTACTTCCCCACAAAATCAGTCATGAAAAGCCCAATCGAGCACAGTTCTACTCTGACGACAAACAGGGGGTTGCCATGAGCCAGGAGTTGACTTGATGGCAGCTGGTCAAACTGGTAACTCTCAGAAGAGAAGGGACAGGGTCTTGAATTGGGACCTGGAGGGTAATGGATATCATTTTCATAGTCTTTGGTTAAGAATGTTCCTGACAGGCACTGGGGAGTTGGGTGATGAGCCTTTAGGAATACCCTATGGGAACTTTAAGGAACCCTGGTAGTATGGTAGGTTATGAGTTGGGCTGTTAATCTCAAGGTCAGCAGTTCAAATCGACCAGCTGCCCCATGGGAAGAAGATGAGGCTTTCTGCTTCTGTAACAAAACCCTATACAGGGTCGCTATGAGTCAGAACTGACTACACGGCACATCACCACCACCACTGGACTCCTGGTGTGGCACTGTAGGATCAGCATGGGACCATGAACCACAGGGTCCACAGTTCAAACCCACCAGCTGCTTCTTGGAAACCCTATACAGGGTCACTATGAATCGGAACTGACTTGGTGGCACTTAACAACAACAACCACCATCACTCTGAGAACTATGGCCACCCCTCCACCCAGGGGCAAGATGAGTCAAAGATGGGAGGGCTGACCCCTATATCGCCACACTGGGAGGACCACTGCTCACAGCAGGGTTAGCACCTCCCAGGAGGCTGGTCCTCTGCAGACAGCTGTCCTCCCTCCTCCCCCCCCCCCAACCCCCGCTCCGCCTCCTTTAATCCATTGTCTTCAGGGACAGCAGATTTCTAGGTGCAACTCTTCGGAAGACTGTTTCAGCAGCTTCTGTCCAACTTCACCTATACTGTTTCCCTTCCCAGAGTTCCAAGGAGACAAACTCCAGACCTAGCACAACCTCTCGGCTGAAAGGGAGGCTGAGGCAGAGAGCAAGGGAGTATGTTTTTACAGCAGAGGTGCTGAGTGGTGGCCCATCAGTAGAGGCCTCGCCTTCCATGCGGGAGACCCAGGTTCAATTCCCGGGTAGTGCACTTCATGGACAGCATCCACCCTGACAGTGAAGCCTTACTTGTAGCTGTGATACTGAATGGTTTGCAGCAGAGCCTCCAGACCAAGGCACCAGGAAGAAAGTCCTGGAGAGCTTCTGAAAAACATCCAGTGAAAACCCTGTGGCTCACAGCTGATGGTGGACATTTTGTTCCATTGTGCATGGGGCATTTGAGTTGGGGGACAACTTGACAGGAGCTAATATTACCAGTGTATGGTAATGAGAAAAAGCAGACTGACTTGAATTCTCCAAAGTGAAGGTAACAGAGGTAGGAGAGAGGTCTATAGCCTAATGAATTCAGGGGCGGTGGGGGGGGGGTGCTGTCAAAGACCCCCTCAAAAGGTTTGTGGGAGCTGTCCCCAGTGCCTCAGGGGAGGGACTTTTTTGAGTTGATGAAGTGGGTATTCCCAAGCACTCCTATGCTGAGTGTGATGAGGGAGGAGTTGGAACCTTCCTCCCTTGCTCTCTGGATTACAGGGACCAGCTTGATGCATTGATTTCTGCTCCAAGGCTGACCCAGCAAGACTGCCAGCTCCGCCCCCCTCTTTGGAGCCAAAGAGAAAGTGGGAATTGCGCCTGGCACCCGCCTCCTCCTCCTCTGGGTTGGCAGAGTTGTTCCAGCCAGTGGAAGTCCCGCCCCACTGCTCCGACTTTCATGGCTGACTTCCCTCGTCCAGGTCCACCATCCCATGCCTACTGGCTGCCTGCCTGCCTTTCCCCTAGGCTGTACCACCTCCCAATTCTGGTCCAGTAAATCAGAGCCAATAGGGCACCTGGGCCTCTGAGGGCAGTCCAGGTCTCACATGTGAGGCTGTCCAGAGGGTAAGCTATTGGTGGTAGGCAGAACATTCACTCCAGCCTCCTCCCTCAAGGGTCTACATCGGTCTTCTCTGAATTTAGTCCAACTGCAGAACTCCTCAAGGAGCTCTGGTAGCGTAGTGGTTACGAATTGGGCTGCGAACCGCAAGGTCAGCAGTTCGAAACTACCAGTTGTTCTGCAGGAGAAAGCTGAGGCGTTCTGCTCCCGTAAAGATTTACAGCTTTGGAAACCCTGTACAGGGTCACTATGAGTCGGAACCGACTCCACGGCACACAGCCACCACCAGCAGAACTCCCCAGGGATATGACCTGGTCATCTATGTTTGTAAGCATCTCAGTGATTGTGATGTCTACCCCAAGCTAAGATCTACAAGCTAAAGTGATGGCCTTTCAAAGGAAAAGAGAACTTGGAAGGCCCATAAGGTCACCTGACTTCCCGTTTCTCACAGGTCCCACCTCCTAATGCTTCGGTGCTCCCTTAGGCCCCAGCTGCTTCCAATGATTTAAAAACTGTTTTTTCAGACTTAGATGTTCTCTGTTCTTGTTTACTTGGACCAAGGTTTGCTGGTGTGTATGCATGTATGTGCACATGAGTGTGTCGTGTGTGTGCATACAAGCACATCTCTGTATGCACAAATGTGTATGTATGTATTTGTGTTTGCACATATATATCCCATGCATGTGTGGAGGTGTGTACACATGTATGAGCATATATGTACTGGGTTCATGTGTGTGAGTGTGTGTGTGTAGCACTGGACTGCTAACTGCAAGCTAGCAGTTCAAACTCACCAGCGGCTCCTCAGAAACCCTATACATGGTCGCTGTGAGTCAAAACTGATTCCATGGCTCTTAAAAATAATCCCCTAAAGGTTGGGTTTGAATCCAAGCTGCAGAGCCATAGATAAAGTCCTGGCAATCTGCTTCCATAAATATTGCATCCAAGAAAACCCTATGGAACGTTTCTACTTGGTCATACATGCGGTCACCATGAGGTGAAATTGTCTTAGCAAAAAAATGCTTCATAGTGCTAGGAGAAAAGTACAAAGGGAGTTATCCATGATGCCTGTGCTTTCAGGGGCTGGGGTCCTGGACATTTTAGTCACCTGCCCTGCACCGGAAGTGCCTTCTTCTTGTCCCTCTGGTACATCCTGGGGCATTGACCAAAGCCAAGGAATCCCACAGGCCAGCAGTACCAGGACACAGTCACCAGGGGGCAGCCAGGTGTGAGTCCCTCTGGGCGTATGAAAGTGTGAATAGGAACTGAGAGATTAGAGCCCCATGCGGCTCTAAGTTAAGGAACCAGGAAGGCCTGTTTACTCCATTCCAGGAGGGCTACCATGGAAGCAATTCCGGGTCTTAGCTCTGTTCCTGCATCGATCCATGGCTTTCCTGGGGTCACTGTGGGTGACCACACACATCTTCCTGGGGAGGGGAGCAGGTGCAGATCCTGGTCCTTCCGGAACACTCCCTGCACCTGATGGTGTTTATTTGCCAGCAGCTGGGCTCCTGATGTGGCGATGTAGGATCAGCACTGGACTATGAACCACAAGGTCAGTAGTTCAAACCCACCAGCTGCTCCTTGGAAACGCTATAGGGTCGCTATGAGTCTATGAGTCACCTGGGCCAGGAAAACAACAGCTTGCTGGGCCACATGCCATGGACAGCCGTTTCTTGGGGGCCACCCCACCTCACCCAATCACTGCACACTGTCTCCTGTCCAGGCAGGCCATCCTACCAGACCATCAGCCCCTCGTCAACCAACGCCTCCAAGCCTGGCCCCAAGGCCTCCCTTCAGTTAAGAGCTCTGACCGCAACAGCCTCAGCCTCCCTTAGCCCCACTGTATTCCCCTGCCCCCTCTCAGAAGTGCTTCCTCCTCTCCCCTCCAAGTAGCACCTTCCAGAGTGTGAAGTGCATAGAGGCAGGTCCCAGGTCCCTGCCCTCACCCTCAGGTGTCCTTGTCCCGAGGTGTGGCTGCCTCAGCTGAGCCCAGGTAGGTCCTCAGAGTGCTCTACAAAAGAGGCAGCCCACCCAAAGTCCCAGCTGTACCCCTTCACCTTCCTGCCTCTCTCCCATCCCCACCTTAGCCCCTTTCCTGCTTAGGTACCTTGGGGGACCTAAGCTGCATCTTCCCTAGACTCACTCCCCTGCCTCAGTCCCACCCCTTCCTTCCTCCTCCCCTCCAGCCCTCCTCTTTGTAAGCCCAGGCTCAGTGCGCTGGGAGATTCCTAGGGCAAACAACTGCCTAGCAAGCCTGGTGAGGATAGGGACACCTGGCAATGCTGGGAGGGAGCTGCAAGGGCTCGCAGGAAAAGCCACAGGAGACCCAGGACCCAGGAGCATGGGACTCGAGGGACAGGAGGCAGGTAGGTGTCTAGGGGCTGGGGGTGGGTTGGGTGACGGGGTGAATGGTAATGGGATTGAGGGAATGGGTTTAGTGGGGGAGGAGGCTTTGGCAGGAAATCAGAAGTTTGAGAGATAAGAACCTAACAAAATCGAAAGATGTGTTGTGTCCCCCTCCGAGGATAGAGCATCTGACATTGTAGATTGAAGTCGACCCTGTGTGTCCGAGAAGTGTGCTCCCTAGGGTGGGGTTTTCAATGGCTGACTTTCCCAGTCTTTCTTTTGAAGCACCTCTGGGTGGATTTGAACCACCAAATTCAAGTTCAAATTGTTGTGGTTGTGCACCCTATAAAGAGAGGTGCTCCTGAGCCTGGAAAAGAGAGGAACCCAGGAATGGTCTCTCCTTGGAGAGCGGAGTCCGGCAGCTGCTACAAATCACTGGGCGTGAGATTCGTCCAGGGCACACAGATGCCTTGGGCCCCGGCTGAGCATCTGGCTCGGAGTGAGGCCCAGACCCCTGCTTTAGACAAGTGTCCCTATGACCAGTGAGCAGTCTGTTGAAGATGGAAGAAAGCAAACGAGAAGGGAGCGTGTCAGGACCTCATCCAAGGACAGGGGGGAGTAAGGGGGATGGAAATGGACTTGGCATGAATTTTCATGGTGATAGAGGTTGCTTCTTGGCTGGGTCTAATGGGGTCTATACATAGCAGGGGGCGTGGAATAGAAGGAGTCAGGGTGGGGTTGCTGGGCCAGGACGGAAAGAGACCCAAGTGCTCTAATCCTGCTTTTTCTAGCTGGCCAGTCACGAATGACGCTGCTGCCTACGCCCAATGGCAGTGGGTCAAGCCGGGAGCTTGAAGGCCCCTGGCCAGAGATCCCAGACAGATCCCCATGTGTGGCTGGCATCATTCCTGTCATCTACTACAGCATCCTGCTGGGCCTGGGGCTGCCTGGTAAGTGGGGGCAGAGAGTTCAGGGAAAGCAGCGTTCTCCCTAAAAGGGACCAAGCTTTGTGCTGAACCCTGACACCTAGGATCATGGGCTCCCCTTATGGGGGTGTTTTAGAAAACAAAGTGTAGAAAGGTGTACATGGTGGGGCTACGGTTTGGGGTACTCAATAGCTAAATCCAAGCTTTCACCCAGTTGACAAGGGTCATCAGACAGCTCTCAGTTATATCTAAACATCCTTGTAGCATCCACTGCCTTCATGGACCAAGGTCCCCCAATAGGAAAACTTGGGGTGAGGGCAGGAAAGCATAGCTAGTCTCAATCTTGAGGTTTCCCCAGACCCAGGAAGGAAACCCACCCCTGGCCTTTGGGGCAGCCCATTCTTCGGACAACATAGAACAACTTGCCATTAAGTTGTTTCTGACTCATGTGACCTCATGTGTGTCAGAGCAGAATTGTGTTCCGTAGGGTTGTCAATGGCTGATTTTTTTGGAAGTAGATTACCAGGTCTTTCTTCCGAGGCAGCTGAGGGTGTAAACCATTTGCACTGTGCCAGTATTTCCTTTGGAAAACATGTTTGTTGTTGTGTGTCACGTGGAGTTAATTTGGACTCAGAACAACCCTGTAGGACAGGGCAGAACTTTCCCAGGTGTTTCCGACGTTGTAAATCTTTATGGAAACGGACTGACACATTTTGCTCCCGAAGAGCAGCTGGTGGGTTTAAACCACCAACCTTTCCATCAGTAGCTGAGCACTTAACCACTGCGCAGGGCCTAGAAGGGAATACCACACGGACGGGTAGCTTCTGAGGGTGTCCTGGGGCTTAGTTTACCTGTATGCAAGGGTGGAGATCTAGCCGGGGTTAAAGTTGGTGATCTGAAGTGCTGAGGGGTACAGAACAGGGGTGGTCTGGCTAGACTTCATGAGGAAGTGGGCTTTAGAAAGGTTTAGAAAGAGGAAACGGAGTCCTGGTGTGGCACTGAAGGATAAGCACTAGACCGTAAGATTGGTTTGAACCACAAAGTTGGTGGTTCAAACCCACCAGCCGCTCCTTGGAAACCCTGTACAGGGTAGCTGTGAGTCGTAACTGACTCAACTTCCCAACAACAGAAAGAGCACACGAGAAGCCAGCACAGCCTCTAGTACAAACAGGTGGGTGGGAGGATGGTGGCATCTGGGGGAACCTCTAATACCTCTACCCTCTCTCTTCTGACCCTGGGGGCCATCAGTCAACCTCCTGACCTCCGTGGCCCTGGCCCGCCTTGCCACCAGGACCCGGAAGCCCTCCTACTACTACCTCCTGGCTCTCACGGCCTCGGACATCGTCACTCAGGTGGTCATCGTGTTCGTGGGCTTCCTCCTGCAGGGAGCTGTGCTGGCCCGCGAGGTGCCCCCGGCCGTGGTGCGTACAGCGAACATCCTGGAGTTCGCTGCCAACCATGCCTCGGTCTGGCTGGCCGTCCTGCTCACGCTCGACCGTTACAGTGCTCTGTGCCGCCCCCTGCACCACCGGGTTGCCTCGTCCCCGGGCCGGACCCGCCGAGCCATTGCTGCCGTCCTGGGAGTGGCCCTGCTGACTGGCATACCTTTCTACTGGTGGCTGGATGTATGGAGGGACGCAGACCCCCCCAGCACTCTGGACAAGGTCCTCAAATGGGCTCATTGCCTCACCGTCTACTTCATCCCCTGTGGTATCTTTCTGATCACCAATTCAACCATCATCTTCAGGCTTCGGCAGAGGGGGCAGGGCGGTCTGCGGCCCCACGTGGGCAAGAGCACAGCCATCCTCCTAGGCGTCACCACACTCTTTGCGCTTCTGTGGGCACCCCGGATCTTTGTCATGCTCTACCACTTGTACGTGGCTCCTGTCCATCGGGACTGGAGAGTCCACCTGGCCTTAGATGTGGCCAACATGGCGGCCATGTTCAACACAGCAGTCAACTTTGGCCTCTACTGCTTTGTTAGCAAGACCTTCCGGGTCACTGTTCGAGAGGTCATCCACGATGCCCACCTGCCCTGCACTCTGGGGTCACGGCCAAAATGCATGGTAGTGGAGCCTGTTCTGAAACTCCAGGACTCCCTAAAGGGACAAAAATGTAAAGGAGCATCTCCAAACAGGGAGTTGGGGTGCTTAGGGCCACAGGTCCTTAATAGAAAGTTCTCAACAACCTGCATTGCATTCTAGGGTTGGGGCTGAAACTTCTTCCCTTGGGGGTGGCTCTCCAGATATAAGGGAGGACAACTCATCCAACCCTTTTATCAGCTTCCCCAGCAATTCCTACTTCCTGGGAAAAGGAAAGGGTTCTGTCAGGCACAGGCTAGCAGTGTCTGTGGCCATGGACATTCCTTTGCAAAGGATATTCACTTGGCACATTGTTGTTGTTGTTAAGTGTCATCAAATCGATTCCAACTCATTGAGATTCTCCACAGCGTTTCTGAGGCTGTAATTTTTGATGGAGCAGAACGGCTGGTGGGCTTCAATGGCTCACCTTGTGGTTTGCAATCTAGTGCTTATCCTACAGAGCATTATGGATGCTAAATTAGTGTTGGTTGAATAAATAGTGGATGGATGGATGGTTGGATGGATGGGAGGATGGACGGATGGAAGCATGGTTGTGTGGAAGAATGGATGTGTGGAAGGATGGATGGATGGATGGATGGATGGATGGATGGATGGATGGATGGATGGATGTGTGGAAGGAAGGAAGGATGGATGGATGGATGGATGGATGGAAGGAAGGATGGATGGATGGAAAGATGGATGAGAACCCACCTCTTCTTCCCTGAATTGATCATCTCTCGGGCTTCCAGTGACATTTCCAAGTGAAAAGGAAGTTATTCAAGGCATCCCTCTACCTGGGTGAACCAGATGTGCTAGACTGAGCAATGGGAGAAGTCGGCTTGGGGGACTGAAATGTGCAGAGATTGCTCAAGGGGCATTTTATGCCCCTAGTTCTGGGGCATCATCTTGGTTTGCTTTTACTAAACTCCCCACCCTGACCCAGAAGGGTCAGTTGAGGAGAGAGGAAATGGCCTCTCAGCCCAGGCGCCAGGGGAGTGGGAAGGAAGGACTTCATCGTGTTCTTCCTGGCTGGCGGGACATTTGTCAGGACCCTCGAGTCTCTGGCTGACCTCTCTGAACCCTCTCCCTTTGGATATAAGCCTCTGCCCTGCCCCTCCCCACCCACTGAGGGCCCCTCTTTGTCTTCAATACTGTCAACTGAGAGGCGTTGAGAGCGATTAGCAGATGGGGCTCCCAGGTGCTCTAGCCACTGTACAAACACATTAGCTACCTAGACTGACTGCTTTCTGCTTTCAACCAGGCTGCATTTACCTTTACCCTATCTGTACCCAACGTCTTAATGGGTGACATAGACCAAGAGGCAGATATGTGCCAGGCACACAGTCAGCACAAAATAAATGTTTGCCTTTCCCTTTTTCCCCTTTAATTCTCAGAGCAGTGCTATCTGGGAAGGCAGAGTCAGTCAAGCACGGAAAGACCAAGGCAGGTTCCCAACTGTCTGTTCACAGTTCCCAAACCCAGAAAGCTCTGAAAGCCAAAAGATTTGTCCTATGTTTGCCACAAACCCATTAAGTGACAAAATCTGATCTAAACTGACATGAAGTTATTTATGTTATTGTGAGGTGCTGTCGAGTCGGTTCCAGCTCGTGTGACACTGTGCACAACAGAACAAAACACTCTTGGTCCTATACCATCCTCACAATTGTTGTGTTTGAGCCCATTGCTGCAGCTACGTGACAGTCCATTTGTTGGGGGTCTTTGTGTTTTTCATTGACCCTCTATTTACCAAGCATCATGTCCTTCTCCAGGGTCTGGTCCTTCCTGATGGCATGTCCAAAGCACAAGAAACAGATCTCCCCATTCTTGCTTCCAAAGAACATTCTGGCTATGTTTCTTCAAAGACAGATTTGTTTATTACTCAGGTTGTTGTTGTTAAGTTCTGTTGGATTTGTTCCGACTCATAGCAACCCTGTATGTTGTTGTTGTTGTTGTTAAGTGCCGTCGAGTCAGTTCCGACCCATAGCGACCCTGTACAGGGTTTCAGAGGGTGTAAATCTTTACGGGAGTAGAAAGCCTCATCTTTCTCCCACGGAGTGGCTGGTAGTTTCGAACTGCTGACCTTAAGGTTCGCAGCCCGATTAGTAACCACTACGCTACCAAAGCTCCTAGCAACCCTGTATAGGGTTGGTAAGTTTGAACCGCTGGCCTTGCAGTTCAAACCAACTTTGTGGTCCAGTGCTTTATCCTACCAGGTAGTCCACAGTATAGTCAGTAGTCTTCACTCTCACCAGAATTCACAGGCATCAATTCTTTTCCAGTCTTCCTTATTCATGGTCCAACTTTCATATGCATATGCGGCCACTGAAAATAGCGAGACTTGGGTCTGGTGCACCCTAGTCCTCAAGGTGACAGTTTTGCTTTTTAACACGTCAAAGAAGCCTTTTGCAGCAGATTTCCCCCGTGTAATATGTCTTCATTTGAACTTTTATTAGGATGAAGAGCTTGTCACTTTTGTAACCATGCCACAGAGATGTAAATGAAAGATATTATTAAAACCACCATCTGTGTGTCTTCTATCATTAAACTCCAGCTCTGGAGAGATCAAGACTCCAACGGTTTGGGTTGACCGTTGCCTCATAGCAGAAATTCTTTTTGAAAACCTAAGTTTCTCTCTTACCATTCCCACCTCCGGTTGTCCACTTTGCCAACTGATCTACTTTTCTGTCATTAACCGTTGTTAACATCTGAGGACAGTTAGTTTTAAAGTGTTATTCACTTCTTCCCAAGCCTTTATTCTTGTTGTTCGTTAACTGCTTTTGGCTGCTCTGACAGTTGGTTGACGAACGATCTTCTCTGTATCTGTGATTATGTCAAAGTGGCTGTGAATTCTGTTTTGTTTTTAAATGAAAGTAACATTTCTCCTAGCTTTATATGACTTCCTCGACTGTTAGAGATGGAATTATATCCTCCCAGTATTGCCCCTCTCCCCCCCCCCCAACAAAAGTGTTGCAGTTCTCATTTTCAATACCTGTGAAAATGACTTTATTTGATGTGGGGTCTCTGCAGATGTGATTAGTGATTAGTTAGGATCAAGTCATCCCGGAGAGGGCTGAGCCCTAATCCAACAGGACTGGTGTCCTTATAAGAGGAGAAGAGGCACAGATACAGACGCAGAAGGGAGACGCCACGTGAAGACAGAGGGAGAGATTGGAATGATGCTACAGAAACCAACCAACATTTGAGGCCACCAAAAGCTAGAAGAGACAAAGAACTATCTTCACCCTAAAGACTTTGGAGAGAGCCTGGCCCTGACAACACCCTGAATTTGGACTCCTGGTCCCCAGAACCATGAGTCAATAAATATGTGTTGCTAAAAGACACCCTGTTTGTGGTAGTTTGTTATGACAACCTCAGAAAATGCATACATACTTTCTTTCTCTCGTCCATATGCTCCACAGCAGGGTTCAAACTCAGTGTCATATCTTTAAACATTATCACGCCTTTCTCCTTGAATGTTTGAACCCTCACAAAGTTCCTGAAGTATTAAATCTTGATGAATAGTCTCCACAACCCTGAGACCAGAAGAACTAGATGGTGCCCAGCTTCCATGACCAACTGCTTTGAAAGGGATCCTAGAAAGGGATTCTGGGTAGAGTGGTACAAACATGTGGAACAAAACTCAAAATCATATCTAAAAAAAAAGAGGCCAGATTTAGAGGTTAAATAGAGATCATGGAGCCCCCAAGTCTGCGGCCATTAGGCCTGGAATTGAACTGACCTCCGTGACTTAATTTTCAGCCAAACAATAGACAGGTCTTTAAAGGGAAGGACAACATTACTGAGATATGCACACCTTAGGATCATCAACCATTTGAGGTCAAGGGCAAAGTACAGAAGGGATAGAAAAGAAGGAGGAATGGAAACAGGAACCACAGAGAGGAAGTTGGATCCATGATGTTACTGTTGCTAGCCCAGCCTGTCACCACTCTGCCACCCGATTTATTCTCAGACTAGAAGACCTTATGGTCTTTGCCAGATGTTGTGATGTTTCTTTATTGTACCCATCCCCAAATGGTTTCCAAGTCTGCACAGGTTTCTGGCATTATGAAATATTTCCTGTGTGTTTTTTTTTCTTTTTTCTTCAAGTTTATTGTTGGTGTTGAAAATACACACAGAACAGACACCAAGTCCACAGTTGCTACGTATGCAGTTTAATGACACTGATCACATTCTTCAAGTTGTACAACTATGAACATAACCTCACTGCTAAGTTTCCTATGTTCAGTTCGAACTATCCAACAGATAGTTCATTAAAAGTACAATGCTCAAGGCAGACATTCTTTTACTAATCAAATGATAGATGGCCAAACTTCATCTCTCATACTGTGGACATATTGTCAGGAGGGACCAGTCACTGGAGAAGGATATCATGTTTGGTAAGGTGGAGGGTCAGAAAAAAAGAGGAAGACCCCCAATGAGATGGGGCAGTGGCAGCATCGATGGACTCAAGCGTGGCAACAGTAGTGAGGTTGGCCCAGGATCGGGCAGTCGGGACCAACTCGATGGCACCAAACAACAACAACAACATTGTTTGGTTTAAAGAGGACTTGAGGAGATACTTTTGGTTTCAGGTTTAAAGTCTGAAGATTATTTCAGGGCAATAGTTTTAGGATTCATCCAGCCCCAATGGCTCTCAAAAGTCTGGATTTTATTAACATTTTCCCCTCTTTTGATCAGGATTCTTCTATAAAAGATTCCCTCTTATCAGTACTGATTCTTTACTTTCTCTCAAATGGAGACCAGCACATTCAGTCCACCACTCGGTTCTCTCCTCTTACTTCCCAGCTTGGTCACTGCCCTCACCTCTGACTTTCCCCTCATTTAAGTTTTCCTCTTCAAGGGACTTTACTATTTTTCCCCCCTCTGGGTTTTTGTTGTTGTTGTTGTTGTTTTTGTCTCTGTGTGTCCAAAAAAGGAGGCAGGATGGTTGAATGAAAAGGACCCCTTGTTGTTGTTAAGTGCCATCGAGTCAGTTCCGACCCATAGGGACCCTGTATAGGGTTTCCAAGGAGA